TTCTTTTATTGGTTTTGGAAAAGAGGCTAAGCGGGTATCCTCAGTGGAGACAACGGCCTGGTTCAGCTCCTGCAGGACGCCTGCCTTCTCGTCCCTCGCATCCCTCTGGAGAAGAGGACACTTCGGGCCCTGCAAGAGAAAGAGGGAGAAAAAAACAACTAAGGGCAAGCTCATCCATTGCCGTCAACCAGCTTCAACCCAGGCGTATCCACCGACCAATGTTCTGTCAACTTCATCCCAAAGTTCCACCTGCCAACATCCACTGGTTTCCACCAGGAATATCCACCCATTTATCTCTTCCACTCTGCTTCTGAAGCCAGCCTCCGACAGCTCCCGAATGCTTGCGTCACACACACGCCCCAGCAATATCCCCACGGAATGCCAGCCAGCCCATTCACACGCACATTCTCTCTCTCACTCACTCACTGACTCACACACACACACCAGCAACTCCACTGACACACACGCACCTTCACTCCACCAGCCCGCTGACACACACGCACCTTCACTCCACCAGCCATTCACACACACGCCCAGGCTTCCATCCTCCGACATCCACCAAGCTCCTGCTAACTGGTTTCAGGAGGCTAACGTCCCCCGGCTTCATTCACCAACCTCTGCTGGCCTCCGCCTTGCAGCCTCAGCCAGCTTCCGCAGGGATATTCCACCAGCTTCCATCTGCCAACGTCCACCAACTTCCCCCCGGTCCATCGCCGACATCAGCCAGCTTGAAGCCATGGATCTCCGCCAGCCTCGAGCTGTTAACGCACAAGCCCACTTAGCAAGTTCATCTTCTTTCGGGAGAGAACTTGCCTTGGGCAGAAGGGCTGGGTCCCCTGCAGCCGCTGCCGCTCTCTCTGCTGGAGTGCCCTCTGGCCACTGGCCTCCCTTCTGGTCTCCTGCCCTGGCCAACAAGCCCCTTTTATCTGTCAGCAGAGAGGTGGGGCTCTGTGAGGTCACAATTGCTTCCTTACCAAACTGCTGAAATCAAGTCACAGCCAGCTGAACTCACACACCTGCTGACACAAGAAGAGGAATACACTATAAAAGTATGCAGAAGAGGAATAAAGTGGATAGAGGGAAGCTCTTTTCCCTTCCACGCAATACCAAAACCAAGGAAAATCCATTCAAATTGAATGCTGGGAGAGTGAAAACAGACAAAAGAAAGTATTTCCTGACCCGGTGTGTTGTTAGTCTGTAGAACCCCTTGCCACAGGATGTAGTGAGGGCATTTGGCCTAGATGCCTTTAAAAGGGGATTGGACAGATTCCTG